TAGTTCTATCATTTGGGTTATCATTCGTCTATGTTTTTATTATTATTATTATTAGGGCTTCGCAAAAGAATTATGAATATCAGGAAAACTGCGAGAGCTTAAGCAAAGTTCCATGAATTTTAGGGAAGTCTAGAGCAGGGCCCCCCAAAGTCACTTTCAATCGAAAATCGTCAAGCGACGATGAAGCTGTCAACCATCACTTTCAATTGAAAGTCATTGACTAGTGTTCATTTCTTCTTTCATTGTCAAATGAACTTACTTTTGCATTGAAGCCAAGCTGTTCGATCCAAATTCGTGCAGTTTTTATGACTTTTGTTGCTTGTTCACTCGGTTCATTTAAGCGTATGCGCATAGATCTGTGCACTTGGATGTGAAATTTATGATTGTTGAGTGGTTTTTTTATCCATCAATATGGGTATTTTTTGATCGGGGTGACGTTTAGGGATCAAAAATTGATATGCGACGCCATTTTGAAATCAAAGATGGCGGCTTCCAGTTTAAGAAAAAGTCGAAAATGCTGTCATATACTTATCAATAGAGGTATTTTCGGAATCGGGATGATGTCTAGAGGATGAAAATCGATATCCGACGCCATTTTGAAATCGAAGATGGCGGCTTCCGATTTACGAAAAAGTGGAAATACAGTTAAATACACATCAATACACACCATGAATATTTTTGTAATAAGGATGATGTCTAGAGGATGAAAATCGATATTCGACGCCATTTTGAAATCCAATATGGCGGCTTCTTATTTCAGAAACATGGGAAATGCTGATGCCGTCCCATCAATATGGGTATTTTTGAAATCGGGGTGAGATTGGAAATCAATATCCGACGCCATTTTGAAATCCATGACGGCGGCTTCCGGTTTGAGAAAAAGTTATAAATTCTATCAAATACCCATACAAACGGGGTTTTTTTAATTGGGGTGACGTCTAGAAGCCGGAAATCGATATCCGACGTCATTTTGTAATCCAAGACGGCGGCTTCCGATTTGCGGAAAAGTGTCAAATATCCTAAAATATAATTATTTTCAGAATGCGATGAGACGTAGATGCCGAAAATTGATGTTACACCGTCTTTAAATCCAAGATGGCGGCTTTGGTTAAGAAAAACTGTGAATACTGTCAAATACCGATCAGTATAAGTTTTTTGGAATCGGGCTGACATCTAGAAGCCAGAATTCGATGCCCGACACCATCTTGAAATTCCGATTTCAGAAGAAGTGTCAAATAACCTACGAATGGTATCGAATATTGATTTTCAGCATCTACGCGTCGTCCTCGTTCCGAAAATACCCAGATCTTAGGGTATTTGACACATTTTGTGAAACCCGATGGCCGCCATATTGGATTCCAAAATGGCATCGGATATCGATTTTCAGCATTCACACGTTGTCACCATTCCGAAAATACCCATATTGTAGGGTATTTGAGACTTTCTGAGCCCTGATGGCCGCCATATTGGATTCCAAAGGTGTTATCTGATATCGATTTTTGGCATCTACGCGTTGTATCTGTTCCGAAAATAACCATATTGTAGGGTATTTGACACTTTTCTGAAACCCTATGGCCGCCATATTGGAGTCCAACATAGCATCGGATCAAGGTTGCAAATACTCATTTCAGCTAACACAATGTTTTTTTTTTATTATGAATATACTTTGATTATATTTTGAATTGGTAAGATACAAGAAGAAGTTGGAAAGAATGTGTTTGATATATTAAACCTGTTTATTTCACTTCATGAGAGTCACAATCAGCGATTTTTCACACACTCAATCACTCACTCAGCGATCAGCAAATCGCTGATTTGACTCATAGAAAGCAAAATTTACAGGTTTTATGTTATAAACGCATACTTTGTAACCTCTTCTTGTAAGTTACAAGTAAAACATGTCATCATACCATCTTTTGGTTTTATTATTCCGAAAAACATTATTTTAGTAGGATAGTTGATATGTTCTGAATCCTGATGGCCGCCATATTGGATGCCAAAATAACGTCGAATATCGATTTTCGGCACCTTCGCGTCGTCCCCGTCCCGAAAATACCCGTATTGTAGGGTATTTGAGACTTTCCCTGACCCCGATGGCTGCCATTTTGGACTCCAGAATGGCCTCATTAATTTAATTTTCGTTTAATATAAAATAATATATAATTACTACATATAATCCGGATGTCATCCCTATCGGCAACCGATATTGTGTGGATACTATCCGGATACTATATTTTGATGCCTGCGTCTTCAGTTCGTGGCAAGTCGAATGATCCCCGAATTGAAGTGAAAGTGGAAAAAAACGAAGGAAGCAGTTTTCAAGGCATTCATTGCGTCAATTAAAACAAGTCTTTGCTTCAAATGAAATGAACTGAAGCACTTGACGAACGAAACAAGTGATGGTCCAGTCATGTTTTAAAAGAGGAATGTTCATCGTGACTCGATAACAAGATACACGATGACGTACACGAAAATGATATTGCTCGAAATGAAGCGATTTTGTGGAGAGTTCATTTTCTCTTCTTTGTTTCGAAAATGCAGAACCCTGGTCCAGATACTTCTAATTTATTGAGAAGTTTAGAGAATTTTGGAGGGTAACGATATCTTTAGAGAAATTTCGAATATCGGGAAAGTTCCAAGATCTTCAAAATAATATTCAGACAACTTCGTAAATTTCAGTAAAATGTTGAAAACTTCATCGAAGATCTAGAGTAGTTTTGGGAGAACTTCAGAGTAGTTCTGACGAGAACTTCAAAGTTGTTCTGAGAAGAAGTTCAAAGTAGTTCTGAGGAGAACTTCAGAGTAGTTCTGAGGAGAACTTCAGAGTAGGTCTGAGGAGACCTTCAGAGTAGTTCTGAAGAGAATTTCAGGAAATTTCTGAGAACTCCAGAGAAGTTCCATTGTCCTCAGGAAAATTTCGGGAAATTTATGGAACTCCCCGGGAGCACCCGGAACATGTCTGGCCAGCGTGGTCCTCAGTACTTAATATGGCCACCAATTTTCTTATTTTTGAATTCCCATGTAGTTTGATGTATCACATGAGGATGTAGGTGCAAGTTTCACTTCTCCGGGGGTATCTGGAACATGTTCGGATATGGCCAACGTGGTCTTCAGTACTTAATATGGACAACAATGGCCATATTTTTGAATTCTCATGTAATTTGATATGTCGCATGAGGGTGTTGGGTCAAGAAGAATCTAACCCCTTCCCCGAGGCTAACCGAAACATGTCTGGATGTGGCCAACGTGGTCCTGGGTACTTAATATGGTTACCAATGATCTTATGTTTGAATTCAGATGTAGTTTGATGTGTCACATGAGGGTGTTGGTTCAAAAAGAAACTGGCCACTTCCTCGGGGGTACCCAGAACATGCCCGGATGTGGCCAAAATTTTTATGGCAACTTACTTACTACCTTGGATGATTATTTGGTTCACGTCTTGAAGTTTCTGGTTAATTCAAAATTACAAAAAATACATCTGAAAACATTGAGCACTTCACGAGTTTAAGTACAATGCCGCTTTTGCGCTTGCCGCTATGCCGTCATGCCGCTATCATTGTGTTCAGCTCTTAACTTATCTATCGTTTAGAGGAATAAAATTACCCTTTTCTCTCACCAGGTGACGCTAGCGTCAGTTTGTTTCGATTAAATCAGTTGTACGGGAGCGTGCGGTACACGTGCAATAAACGGTTCAATGTGTCAGCTTTGGAAGGGAAAATGAGCCGGAAAAGGCGAATAACGAAGGTGAAATCCGGTTTCAAGGGTACTCATGATGCGCGACCACCGAAAAAGAGCTGAAAAAGATTAAATCGACCGGTCAATCGGCATTCAATGAAAACTGCATCGAAAACCGTGAGCAGCTCGGCGAGGAAGCTTCGTGCATCGGGAAACCTCAGTTCCACACAGAATCGCAAATCGTTCCGAATCGATATTTTTAGAATTACTTGTAATTTCACACAGTTGTTTAATGAGTTTTTACGCAACTAACTTTTGAAAAGGACCTATGAAAAAAAATGACACGCATAAATACAAAAAGACATATCTCCAGAACGATTTGTTTGATCCAGATGGTGTCTTCGGCAAAGTTGTGTAGAAGTATTGTGTCTTTTTAGAAAAAAAATACACGGAATAACATATTGGTGTATTTTGGAAAACAAATGAAAATTAAATAAAAACTTAAAAAATCTCAAATTGCATATTAAAAAAAAAACTAAGGGATAGCGTTCGTGTAATTTTCAGTAGTGACATTTTGAAAAATGATAAGTTCTTAATTTTAACCGATGCGTAGACATATTTCTGATCGATTAGTAATAAAATTATTGAAATTGGTCCAGGGGCAGCTTTGTTATTAACGTTCATAATCTTTCATAATTTCGTTACATGTTCCATTTTCGGTTTTCGCAAAGTGTACCCCCATATAGACAGACGTAGTCCACGTCAAAAAAATATAGGGGAAATGTCGACTTTGGCAATACCTTATCCTATTATCGTCAGGGGGTAAACAACATCCTTGGGGCTCAATTTTGGCAAAAGACTTACATAGCTAGTCTTTCTCACAGGGACCTTCGTTAACGTAGTGTTCTAGTGGCACTTCCACAGTTATTATTCGAGCCTTTCCATGCCAACCTTTGTATTATAATTTGTATATTATGTAGAAAGCACAACCATATTCTATGCCGAGGGAAGTCGAGAAAATGTTCAACCCGAAAGATTTCCTCGATCGGATCGAGAATCGAATCAGACTGACTAGGCAACCTGAGGCTTCACCTTAAAATCCGCAGTGGAAGTAGTTTAGTTAAAATTCGCATTCCTTCCACTCGAACAATGTGCGATACAGTAGCAGGACAAGACCCAACGGTGACCTTTCCATGTACAAGTACATACAAGACAAGACAGAGACAACATCGGGGTACATCTTGAGGGAAAAAGTTAGTCTCGAAAACCCTAGACAGTGAAAAGAAATCAAAACAAACGAACCAAACCATCCCACGTATACTTACACAGTGAGGTCGCTGCGTTGGACATGGCGGTGGGTGTCTGGGCGGCGGCAGCCTGAAGCGATGGTTGCGTCATGGCCGCCAGCGTTACCAGGTTCTGCATCGACAGTGGGCTCAACAGTCCGGCCGCGGCTGCTGCCGTCGTCGAGTCAGTCTGAGCTCCGAGACCTGGAAAAGAGAGAGAGAGAGCAAATAAAACCGTGACTGTAGTGCGGAAGGACAGTCCCCGAACGGTGTGCGTAAATAAATAAGATAAATTGCTAGCCAATTTTGACTCCAGTCTCATCTAGTGGGTGCGTGAAGTGTGATTGAGGATATGGCCACCGCCACTGTAACTGGCCTGTCCGGGTTAGGACATGTAAGCTGTTTGTTCCGTTCTCTATTGGTTCATTCATCTTCATCAGTATAAATGCCTGTCTCGATGGAAAGGATGTATGTATGTATGCTGCACTCGCTACAGGCCAGACAGGAAGCACACATAAGAAAGCAAAATTCTACTCTATAGTGAGAGTAACGGTTTTTCTAGGCGACAAAAAATCGTCACTTTTATAACGATGGTGCGTGACAACGGTTCTTCCTTCCCTTGGCACGCCAGCCAAGGAGTACGATACCGAGAAAAAGACTATTTACGAGCCTGCCCGCAAACGATTGACCGATGTGTAATTTGTCACCTACAGCACACCGACCGGTTAGTTTAGTGGTGGTGGCACGGCTGCCTGTGGCCACTTTTTCCCAAGCACACGCCAGCCGAGCTCTGGCAGGAGAAGCTACCAAGAAAATGCGAAAAAATCAGCTCTGACGGACGGTTTATAATGGTAGTAAATCATTCCTAATTCCCATTTAGGCTTTGGTGCTGCTGCGTTGGGTTGGCTCGGTGCAGAACTTTCTTGGCGAAACAGAGAAACGCGGGAAGGAGGTGACTCAAGAGCAATCCCCTGGAGGGGAAAGTTTGTCCGAGCGAGTTACACAATTAATAGCGTGGTGAGTAATGGCTTTTTTGTTTCCAAAGGGCAATTTGTTCCGGACCTTGGCACGGCATGGCTTTGGTGAAGGCGGATTAGGTTCGCGTTTGGTTGGTCAGTTCACGCTACGGGTGATTAGAACAAGGAACAGGATATGGCTCTACGCTTTCGGTAATGAACGAAATAAATTTTCGTGGGATTTACTGAGATGAAGGATGACATACTTTTGATAAGGATTCACTTTCATTGGGATTATTTATCAAAATTAGAACTAGCCATCTCATGACTGACTGACTGTTAGTAATCCCCGGCTTAGTGTAAGGATAAACGACAGAAGGTAAGCACTTCGAAAAGTCACAAACCAAACCATTATCGCCGCAATTGAAAGAGAACACCGGCACAAGAAAATCCCATTAAGATACATTAACGTGATTACACGAAAATCGAATCAATGCTGGTAATTAGCATCATTAGGTACGCCAGCAGCCGCGAAGGCGGAATGCATTCTGCGGTTTCCTTTCCTGTGGATGGAAGATGCGTTTCGAACAAAGCAGGATTTCAATCTCAACCCTAAAAATAAGGACGACGGAGTCGAACAGCTACAGATATGGTAGGTGGTACTCGACCGTCCCGGCGTAGAAAAGTAATTTAGACTAATTAATTTTAATCTTGCTTTTCGACGGCGGGCGACCGAATCGATGTTACTTTGCGATAAGTGATTTTCCTCTTCTGAAAGGTGTTGGATTGGAAGCGTTCCACAGAATTCAACTTCATTCGTATTTGGAACGTCCGCTCCATATCCATCCACTGCTGGCACCGATTTTATCGATTTGCTTGAAGCCCAATCGACCTCGGGTGGAATGAGCAACTGCAAGCGGGGCACTTAATCTATATATCAACCACCCGACCAACCAACCCGAACACAAGCAGCGGCTACTGTTATCTAAAAGTCTAATCACCTTTCCGTGATTCAATTAGAAGGCCACCGACAAACGCCATTCAGAGGTTTGTACCCGTCGAACCGCAAAAACGGTGTCGCGCTGCTTACAACAGCCACAAACACACACACATACACATACGGACGGACAACAACAAGGGGCTCAATGTCCAAGCACGATTCGCCCATTAAAGCGTGTCCTTTTACCATTTCGACGAGGGAAATTTTGGAACCAAATGAACAGGACGGGACAATCAGCTGCTATCGGTATTTTTTTTTGGTGGGAGGAAATGAAATTAGTTATACCACGTAACCAGGGTTAGTAAGGGGAGATAATTTTTGTTTAGAACGTGCTTTAATCTTGAAGGCGTTCTTAAACAATACTTGTTTCCAAAAGTGGATTGATTGTTGCTCGCAGTCCGTTTGGATCAAGCAATGAAAATGATTTTAAAAAGCACGGCTTCACCGGTACTCAAACTAAAATTTAATTACATAAATTCATAACAAATAATGGATTCGTACAAAAAACAACTTAAATTCAGTTTCCTCCTACTATGCAATCTACATTTCTCGGCAACACTGGTGCACTCGGATCTAGGCCCTATGTTGGTGTAATTGCTATTGATGTTCTGTTTAATTAATTTCTTAACACAAACTTACGGTAAATAGCTCGAACAATCGTGAGCGCAGAACAATAAACAAACCTAACGTCGACCAACAATCAGCTGACGAAATCTACAAAACACCAAATATTACTTTCACAATATTTTTATAAACTATTACACATACAAAATCGACTTCACACTTATTCTACTATACGATCACTAGTGAAATTACTAATCTAATTTCCAAAATGAAAACTTTCACCATCTCGATCGATCTTCTTTTCTTCAATGTCAACAATAACAAATTGCGATACGCATGTATGCGTGTCTTTATTTGGATCATCTTCTGCCGTCGAAAACTGTCAGTTAAAGGGCGGGTTCACAGTCTTCGTCCATTAGCAACTGGATGCTACTTTCGCCGTAAAAAAAAACCCTTTCGCTGCTGGGCGCTCGTTTTTACCGACGGCAACATTCCCCCACCCGTAAGCCCTGTCGCTGATTCACTCGGGAACAGTACGCGGATTACTATTTTCCACCTCGATCTCCAAAACGACTAGCTTCGATATTCCCGCTGCCAACGATCCCAAAATCCATCCACTAACTGCTGCGCTCGACTATAGCTGCTCCGCAACGTATCAGCCAAATCCACCGGAATCCTCGACGGACCAAGAACAGGACGTGATTCGGTGTTAGCGCTTCTTTGTCTTCCCTCACGTTGGTTGACACGTACGTAAGTGGACGTGAGTTGACCAGGTTCTGAGCGTCGATCAGTGCAGTCTACAGGATCTCATCCGTCAGCTTCCGACCATCCGTGAAGACATGCAGTGCCTCTTTTACCGACCGCACCTCTCTCTCAAGCGTCTCCCATAAGTGGCGCTGAAGGTAGGTTGAACGTCCAACGAGTCCTTGCACCAGTCCGCACAGGCAACGTTGATCTCCTTCAGCAGATCTCGATTGGCACCGACGAAATTTGTACCGTTGTCCGAGAAGATCTCAATCGGACTGCCGCGCCGCTTCACAAACCCCCTAATCGCCATTTTGCATGACTCCGTCGTCAGGTTGTTCGCCACCTCCAAGTTAAGCACGTGAACAGTACCACCCATCTTTTCTCCTTCCTTCTTCCACCGGTCCAAAGTAATCGATGCCCACGTTTGAAAACGGATCAATCTTTGCAGCCAATCGCTGTTCGGGTAGCGGTGCCATCCTGGGCACAGTTGGCTCTGCCTTCCGGATCTTGCACCACATGCACTCCCGCATCACTTGCTCCACCAACACGCGTAGACAAGGGATGTAGTATCGCTGCCGAATTTCGTTCACTACCGTTTCCCTGCTGCCGTGGCCATACTGTCGATGGTAATGCGGCACCAGTCTCTTGGTCACCACGTGATCCTTCGGCAGTATAATCGGGAACCTTGCATCAAACGCCATGAGCTATGGATGTATCCCGATTCTTCACGAGTGTCTTCACCTCGTCCGCGAACTTCTCTGCTTGCACTATCCTCTACAGCAAAGTTTCGGCAGACATATATTCATCTTGCTGCAACGGTACCTCGACTGCTGCAAACGCTCTACTTCCAGCTTGCTCAACGCTTCGGCAACGCTTCAATCGGCATCTTCTTGATCCGGCGACGGCAGTTGGACACAAAGCGGAACACTACTGCTACCGTTCGCACCATCACCGTCCACCGAGAAATATGCTGCATCCTCTCCATAAACCCCTCAGGCAACAGAATATGATGCAGCAGCACGCTTGCGTGTAGTTCTTCTTGAACCTCCACCACCGGACGTTTTTGCTTCGGCTTTATACAGGACCCCGATACCACCGACTCTCCGACTTGATTTCCGTTCCTTTTCCCCATTTCGCTAGGTCGTCTGCTGGGTTGTCCTTTGTACCCACCCAGTGCCAATCTTCAGGGTTTGGATGCTGAGAATCTCTCCGATTCGGTGGGCAACGAACGGTTTGTACCTTCTTTGATCGGACTTCACCCACGACACCACAGTATACGAATCGCACCACAGGAACCACTTCAAAACAGGAACGGAATGATTATCGCAGATTGACTTCATCAGCCGCGCGCCTTGAACAGCAGCCTCTAGCTCCATTCGTGGCGTAGACAGGTACTGCAATGCCTCGATGAACGACTCGGCCGTCCTCAAATCGGAAATAAGCAACGCACCCATAAGCCGCATCGCTAGCATCGGTGAACACATGCAACTGTACCGTATCGTACGCCTTCGAATCTAGTCTGCCCAGTTAGCACCTAGGCACTCGGATCTCGTCGATCAGTTGGAATAACTATGTCCATTTCACCCACCGTTCGTAGTGTTTCTTGGTCAGTCTTTCGTCCCACTTGATCCCGCTACGCCACAAATTCTGCATGAGTATGTGGCCATGTATGAGCAGAGGAGCCAAGAATTGCTTTGGATCGAACATAAAGGGTGATACGGTCAAAATTTGGTCAAGGGAAAACGCGTGTAAATCGTGAAATCGTTTATTTAAAAAATCAAATTAAATTTCTTTTTCAAGTTCAATTAGTATAAAATTCAGGAAAAATATTCAGTTAGGCTTCCGCTTTTCCAAATCCGAATTGCCGGGCCTTACGCTTGACCCCTGCCATCAGATTTTGTACAGCCACCTTGTCCACCTTCTTCGCCGCAGAAAGC